CGAGAACGATGCGGATCGGCGCAAAGGATTCGACCGGATACTGGGGCCGCTGCTGAGCGTCCATGTGAACGGAGCTCATACTTGGCTAGTTCTTTCTGCAACTGCTCCATGATTGGGCGTAGCCGACGCTCGTGGATTTCCAACCATTGACGAGTGAGGAGACTAGCCTGGCGCAAAGTGGTTGGGCGGCCGAGTACGGTAATCCGCGCACCTTCATGCAAGTCCCACACAGAAAGAGGCACCCCAGTCACAGCATGTGCAACGTGGGAAATGGTGAACACATTTGGGGAGTCCTCCAGCACCACCTGAAAATGACGTGTCGGAATGGAGAAGTAAAGTCGCAAGCGGCATTGGCGGGTCTCTCCTTGCAGGGAGGTCTCCTTCCACCAGCAGTGAAAGCATAGAATTTCCAATTTAGTAATGCTAAAATGGAGGGTATGAAGCACACAAGTCAGAGATTGCTCAAACATTAGAACGAAAGTGTGGACGTACTTCTTCATCGATGTCTGCTTGTGCAATGTCGAAGCATGCTCAAATTCTAGTGGATCGGCAGCTCGTGTCATGGGGTCAGCGTTATCGGCATTGTCGCCAAGTAGAGGCACCAAAGGGTGTATATCCTGTCGAGACTTGGTAACAAAGTCGTAGTAGTACGTGTTTAATGTCTTCGTTGTTGAATTGGTTGCCTCAGGAGAGACCAGCTCCTCAAACTCCATCCACGCAGACGTCTCGTGTTCTTGCTCGCAATTAGTCACTTGTTGCTGGTGACGGTGCCGAAGGAGCTTGATTTGATCGAGGAAATAGCGTTCACCACTCTTGTCATCGTCGTCATGCTGTCGTTTTGGAGGTTTGGGCGTGGTAGCTGCCTGCTTCATGAGTGGAAGCAAGTACGGCTCCTTATCCAGATCTACATCAAAGCTACGTGCCTGCAAATACAAATCATCGGGTGTAAGTAAGGAGGTTGGTGTCTCTTCCTCGGAAGGCATTGGTCTTGTTCAGCTGAGGCTTCCTTGGGTAGCTGCAACGAACTCGGCTATTCTCCACAACTGCACTTTTCGAGAAGGTATGAGCCTATCGCTAAAAATATTAACCAGTTTTTCTTGCTAGTCTATTACGCTGATTTTACTCCTTTTTGATGATCAGAGCGCTTGGAAGCGGCCAACTTCACAGCAAATATCTTAGCTTTGTATCGAGGCTCCCAAACTTCGCGCCAGTTTAATACGGCGGACCCGAGATCATACTTATGTGTGCAAGGACACATATGCGATCGACGAAGTTCCCTCCGCTTGAAAAACTCGTTTGTGGTGAGATTGTTGGAAACCAGATAGAGGTGGAATCCGGAAAAGCACACAAGCGCAATGCCCATGCCGACACAGAGCACGAACAGAACTATGAGGATAGATTCCTCATGGATCAAATATCGAACGACAACCATCGGCTCGCCTTGGACAACAGTGCGGGTGTTTTCATCCAGAAACTCTTCTCGCAATAGATGCTGGTACTCGTCGGATAAAGTTGCGAAGAGAACGTACGAACCATAGCTGCACAAAAGCACGTTCATCTGGAATTAATGATGAAACCACACGCATTAGCTGAATAATTGTGATGGAACGATCAGGAATTATGCTGCCAGTCGGTACCATGAGGAATCGCAGGAAGACCCAGTGGTTGCATTCGCCAATGCAAGTGTTAAGCCATCCGCAATCTACTCGAAAAAGGACACAACCATGTTATAAATTGCCTTTTGAATAGTAGACAATTGTGTTAACGCACGGTGATCGAAGCGCGGGACACACTTGTTGCAAACGGAGCA